CGCCTCGGAAAACAAGCCGAGCCCATAAACAAAGCCACGTGGCCTCAGGGCCGGGGGGCCGGGCCAAGAGCAGGCGGCTCTTCCGGCAACAAAGAGCCGAGGCCCGCGGCCGGGGATAAATACTGCGTCTGGGACAGCCACGCAGCACTCCAGGGAGCCCGACGCGCGGTGCGACCCTCCCCAGCGCCCTCTGCGAGCGCGGGTACCCGCTCCGCTCCCCCAGACCCGCAGCCCTCCACGCCGGTTGCCTGCACCTGCCCCCCTCGCAGGCCCCTGCACCCCGAGCGTCCGCCCGGGCGGTGCGTCCCCGAGGCCGACAGGCCGGTCCGGTCTATCAGTCGGTCCCGTCCGCTCGCGGTGCCATGCCATTCCTCGGGCAGGATTGGCGGTCCCCCGGGCAGAGCTGGGTGAAGACGGCCGACGGCTGGAAGCGCTTCCTGGATGAGAGAAGCGGCAGCTTCGTGAACGACCTCAGCAGGTGAGGGGACCCGCCACCGACTTCCTGGCCCGCAAAACCGACCCGGGCTTGTCTGGGGGGCGCAGGGCAGGTGAATGAGGGGCGGGCAGGGCTGGGACAGGGTGAGGAGGGGGCACCCTGACCAGGGTGATGGGATGAGTTGCCCAGATTCTGCAGAGGTCGCCAGAGCACGGGAGACAGGGAATTGGGTTTCTCTTATTGTTCAAGGTCAGCGTCTCCAAGTGGACACGACTCCTTCCAGAACCCAGGATTCCTCTGAGAATCTGATGATAATCGCCGATCTTGTCCCCAAACGCTCAAAATTAAGCACACAACTTTAGAGGTCCCTGCCTTAAGGACCCCGGAGTCGCGCGCTTTGCGCGTGCGGGGACGCGGGCGAGCGGGCTGCGCGCCTTTCGCCGCCCGGGTCAGAGCGTCCAAGCGCGGTGGGCACAAGTCTGGTGACCGGATTGGACGCGGTCCCGCCCGGAGCGCCTCCAGGCTCTTCCCACACACAGGCGACCACGGAGTGGGCAGGGAGGATGAGTAACCAGGAAGGGGCAGCGGCGCTTGCGGAGCGGTGGCGACAGCGGCGGCTGCAGATGCGGAGGAGGGAAGGGAGGCGGGGGTGAGGCTCGCAGCCCTGTGCTCCTGGGAGCACGCAGCCCTTGCACCTGTCCCCTCAGAGGCCCTTTCGATCAGTCTTCTGCATAGTGAGCGCTCTCCCGTTTCAAGTGGTGCCTGTCGGCTGCGGAAAGCCCACCTGGTCCGGGAGAGCCTCTGGGTTTGAGGTCTCCCCTGGGCTCTGTCGGTCTGGTGGGAAGTCGCAGGTCCGTGAGCTCTGTGCTCCGCTTCGTTCATGAGACAAGCGCCGACCAATAAATTAGGTGGTCTGGAGTGTGTCAGTCCCCGACCTCGACAGTCACTCCCTGAGACCCGCCATTTAGCCCACGTGAGGAGGGCGGTGAAAGTGGGTCCAGGGGGGATCAGAGCAGCCGGGGTCACCCTTGGGCGCCTTTTCCTGCAGCCTTTGGTTAAAACCACCAGCCTCTGTGCCGTTACATTGACTTCAATGGAGAGTTCTGTAACTGGGCCAGGTTCCCACTTACTGAGATTTACCAGTGGTTGTTTGGATGAAGCCTTGGCAATAAATTTTAAGAAAACTATCAAGAAAATGTGGTTATTTTGGCAGCTTGACCGCCAGAGCCTCCCATTTGTTTGTGATTTGTAATGTATTAAATTTCCTTTGTCTCCCAATGGAAAGAAACAAATTATTTAATCCTGGGGTCTGTCAGGAGAGACAAGAACATATTAACCTTTATGTTAAAGATACTTAAGACCTTCCCAGGGGAGTTTGGGGAGTACTATAAAGAAATTTTACTTACAGAAAATCAGACCATTTATGTGCAGAAAAAATGAAAAGACCAACTGCTATCACCAGACTATTATGTCTTTTAGGGACTCAAGTTACTAATTATGCCTATTCTCCCTCAATAAAATGGGCAGGGGTAGAGTAGAAGCTTCCTTCCTCCTCCCTGTTCCTAGGAAACGTGATCTACTGTTTTGATACTTTATTTCTGTGTAAGAGTTCAGATGTGCAGTAATGGTCAGAGGAGCTGTGTCACGGTGGCTCACCCGAATATAACTGTAGGATACTTCTCAATGGGGACCAGACTACTGGGCTGGGGGGGGATGTAGAGCCTCTGGTTCCTATTAATACTTACCCTTTATCTGCTCCAGGAGATAAACCGGTTTCATTCTCCTTTAGAAATAGTGGTGCCTCTTTATCCACAGTATGGAAGATCTGAAATGGTTTTAACTTACCACAAAAGTTTAGATAGCCTGGGATCAGGTAACTTCCCGCCCCTCTGTCCCCTTC